TTTGCTGAAGAAGTGTATACCAGAGTTGTCGTAAGTATCTTGTGTGTGAGTATTGATTGTCATATCATGTTGGATCATTTATAGAAACATTCATTTCTTGGGACAGATTGAAATTATGAAGCACAGACAGCTAAAGCTAGAACGGACTGTAGAGATTTTAAGTTCTTTTACAGACCAGTGAATTTGTGACCACCTTACTGACACAGCTAGTCAGTGACGAAGAGAGATCGTGAATCCAGGTCCCCGAATCCCCACTCTGGTGGGCTTCACATTACTCTCTGTGTTTTACTTCTTGTGCTTTGCTTTACCAAATTTGGGTTTAATGCATATGTGTTCCCCTACTCTCCTGCCAATCCATAATGCTGTTCTGAGGACCATATGGAATAGCTGTGTGACCTTTGGAAAGTTGTGTGACTCACTTTTCCCATCTGTAAAAAATAGAGATAAGGATAGTAGCTACTTCATAGGATTGTTATGAGAAGTAAGCAAGTTAATATTTGTGAGATTCTGAAAATAGTATCTGGCACATGGTAAGATCTCTATGTGTTTGCTTTTAAAAAAAAATCCCAGGAAATTTAAAATTAAAATTTAAAATTATGGTTAGAAGGATATACTGTTATTTTCCTAGCTTTGCAAGGAGGGAAAATCAGATGGTCCCATATTGCTAGGCACTTGGGAATGTGGCTTGAGCATTAGCACCACCAGTGGGAACTCTGGGGTGAGTTCAGTCATTGGCTGTAGTGTGTGCCAAGTATATATTGAAGGATCTGAAAATGTCCTTCCTTCTCTTTCAAGAAAACCAGTTCCCTTCTTTCTACTCCAACCCTATGCCCAGAACCAGAATCCGATCGGCAACCAGAAATAGTTTCTGCAGTTGAGAAGTTAAACTTCCAGATGCCTTTGTCTCTGACCACTGTCTCCTGTCATTCAGCACTCCTGGTCTGAACACACCTGGATTTTTGTTGGACCCACTGATGATTTTTTTCTCCTAATGTGTTGACTGTGTAGTGTTGACAGTATTACAAGTCTTCCATAGTGACTGACCTAGCCATCCTGCCAGTTTCCCTGGTCTTGCCTTATTCCAGCTTTCAAGAGTAAAAGCAAGTGCTAACATTTATACACTTGTCTTGCTTAATTATAAATGCGTTGTAATTGTGGATCTTACATATTTAGCATGCCTCCACATGACACCAGAAAAACCAAGAAGGACTAAAGCTGTGTGTGAAGTTGTGGGTGCATTGTGTTAATGAGTTGTGTTAACCACACCAAATCTTTATTCTCAAAATTTATTTATCCCTAGCATTGTTCTAAAAAGGGTTTAGTTTAAAATTGCGTGGTATACAACAAAAGAAAATGAGTCATGAAATCACAGCAAACAAAACAAAAGGGGGAGGAAAAAATAAAATAAAACCAAGAATTTAATGTGTACCATGGGCGTTCATGCACCTGTTGGAATTTGCCATATATTTGGCCTTAAATTTCTAGTACCAGATCCAGAGAGGGAAATCAGTTATGAAATTTACACTGTGTATATGATTAAAAGACAGAAATATTTGTTAAAGTAAAGCATATCTATTCCTCATACTGAAACTTAAGAAAATTAATCCCAATGTCCCTTAATGTGGATAGATGCTATGCTGTCAAAATATATATTGTAAAGATATTATAGTAT